CTATTTTCAAATTCACTGTACACTCATATTTCGCCATTAATAATATAGAATGCATCACTGTACACTTGCATGCATGACCTAAGGTGGATAGTTGAGAAAATATTAATCTTTTCTAGTTTAGGTACCTAGGTGATATATATGACTTGATGTTTGGAGGTTTCCAAACTAAATGTAGTGTGGATGTAGCTTGACTATAATGGATGAGTTTGTAAGGTTTCGGGTGATATACTAGTTGGAGAAAATTTACGTATTTTAATATTAGTCTTTATTATGATTGACACTTTGATCAGGTAATTGATTCGGTACTTTTAATCAATTTGAAATTATGCTAATGAATAATATTTTGATTTGGTAATACTTTGAAAGATTGTTATCAATTTTAGAACATGTATCTTAAACCGTTTCTCATTTTCCTCTTTTGGTTAAACTCTTGGTTGTTAGTATTGGTTGAGTTTAATATCTTAGTATAACCAAATTTCTAGGAAAATGTTAGTAAAATAGCTAAATTAAATTATGTTTTAATGAAAATACGAAGAGAAACGTTTTAATTGTTCTTAGCAACCTTTGTGAATGTTAGTATACATGATTGGCTAAGCGAAGATGTGGTTGTTAGTAAAAAGTCCATCTTAATTAAAAGTTTCTCGCTCAAATGAGCAAATTATTGTTTGAGTGACAAAACTCTTAGAAGAAAGATAATTATTTCAATTTTATTTTCGTTTAAACAAGAGATTAGTGACTCATGCAATAAAAGATTTACTCAAATAATTGTATTTCCACTCAAGGAAAACATTGTTAAGTAAAATATAAGTTTTCAAAAGAATGTCACTCAAGCGACATTTTAAGACTTGATACGTAATTTTGATGTTCACTGTAGAAAAATATGATTTGGTGAGTGCTTATGCATATGATACATATGATGATGTTTGAAAATGGTGTTTTGTAAGGTATATGACCTAGAAGATAGTTGTTGTTGAAACAACTTAGGGCAAATAACGTGATAAGTGCATACTGAATGCAATACAAGGTTTTTCAAAAGTCATATAGTGTTTTTGTGGGTTAAGAATGGACTTTATAGAGACATGCATGTGATACTTGTGGGAAGAGTATTTTTTGTTATAACTAAACTAAGTATGTTGTTGTGTAATGATATATATAATATTTGTGATTTGAATGTTTGAGTTGAAAATACTTTAATAATATTATCTTTTATCATCATCGTATTTTGTTATTATAAATGTATAAATTATATTATCATAAATAAACATGTGGTTTAAAATGATATAAATATAATATTATATTTTTAAAATAATTGTTAAATTTTAGTAAAAATAACATATTTAATACATGTTTTAATATGCACAAAAGTAAAAATAACAAAACGGATTAAGTTTAGTAGAAAGGTCCGCCAATTCACTTAAAAAGTGGTTGGACGAGGTTGGTGATTTTAGCCTATTAATCCATATTTTGACTAGTTATGTCTAGCCTATCAACTCGATGAAATTGATTGATTGATTCACTTTAAAATAATATTTATATATTAAAATTAAAATAAAAAATATTATATTTTTTATATTATGTTATTAAAATATATAAATATATTATAATATTATAATTTAAACAATAAAAATTAATTAATTAAATTTAAATTATTAATTATAATTAGTTATTTTAACAAATAAATATAATAATTTTTTAATTTATCTAATAAAACTATTAATTAATAAATAAAAATTTAAAATTTATTCATCTAATTAAATATATATTTTAGAAAAAATACATATAAAAAATTATATATATATATATATATATATTATTAACAAAATAAAATATGTAATTCGCCTTACTATTACACGTCAGTACATATCGTGAAACGGATCAAAATAGAACGAGTAACCATTTTATCATTGTTATGAAAAGTAGACTAACAAATGTTTCAATATAACTTATTTTAATCTAATTAAAAAAATAAAAATAATTTTAAAATATTCATAACTTATTAAATAAAGTTCATTTTAAATTTTAAATATAATTATTTAATATATAAATTTTAACTAAAATTTTAATAAAATAATATTAAACAGATCGATTTTAAATCTGGATGTCAATTAAACTTAAATTCGTTGAAACTTTATATTAAAAAAAATAAACTAAAGTTTAAGTTTATCACCTGTTTAATCTAATCTAGATGACTATCTCAAAATTTAATTGTTCATAACTATGACTATTTCGACATCTGTAGTCAAAAGATTTAATATTCAAATCCCACGTCATGTTCGAGAAAGGATAAGGGATGGACGAGGATATCAATAAAATAAAAAAACAGTTTTTTTTTTTAACCCTTTGATTTTCATTCCAAATAAAATATGAGAGTTATACTTAATTTAGAATAATAAAAAATATAATATATATAAATATATTTGTTTTTTCTTTTTTTCTTTTTTTAATTCAAACGTCTTAGGACATTCTAATTTTAAATAAATAATAGTATGCCAATCATTCTAATTAATTATTATTGAAATTATATTAAAATTATTTATTTATTTTAAGGTGATTAAAATTATTTAACATTAACATTAATGCAGTTGTTTATTCTTATCACATTAAACCGGGCATAATAACGAGGGAAGAACATTTATCAAAAGGTGTCATGAGTAAATCAACTTTAATATTTTAATAATTTGCTTCTTAATTTGAACAATTAAATTAAAAAGTTATTTATTTAAAAAACATAAAGACCTAATAATGTCCTTATTTAAATAAAAATAAAAAGTATGTATGAAACAAAATTGGGTTTTATTTTTTTATTTTATTGGCAATTGGAATTTCGGAACAATAAATTAGTGATGAAAGAAAAAACGCAGAAGCAACGCTAACTTTAGATAGACATAAATTAATTTAACTATATTTGTTTTTTGCTTCCTAATAATATTAATATTCTTGAAGTTTAAATAATTTCTTAATGAGAATATTTTTACATAGAAGAATATAAATAATTAATAAATATAAGTAGCATAATAAAAAGTTAATTTAATGAAGTATAAAAGAAGTGAAAATATTTTGGTTCATAGTTAACAATCAAAACTTAATTGTTGATGAACATGAATAAATTTTTTTACAAATATTTATTTTTTAATTGCTTATGTTTAATAATTTTTTATTCTAACTTTTAAACTTTAAATTTATAATTTATTAAATATTTACAGATATTCACTGATAATCAAATCCTACAACTGTCAAAAGTTTAAGGTGTTGCTTTTCCACTTTTGTGATGCTACTTTATAGCATTAATTTTCCAATTTCTTCCCATATCTTATGTTCTTGATACCCCTTTATGAGTGTTGGATTTTTAAAAGCAAGTTATGTGTGATGATATTATTGTGTATCAACAAAAGGCCACACAAGAATAATGAAAGAAAAAAGAAAAAAAAATCTTCCTCTACTTTTCTCATGTTTGTGTTCTGAAGCTGATGTTCAAATGTCAAACTCAAACTCAAATCCTAATCTTATCTTATCTTAATCTTAATATATGTAAAAGTAACTTACTCACTGATGACTCACTCACACGTAACATTCTGCTGCCCAAAGTAACACTCTCTCTTCTCATATTTATCAAAACAAAATAACGTATTCATTTCATTATTCCTCCTTAATTCTCATAATTCTGAAATATTTTATATCTTTACTTATTTATGATTCTACTCTTTTTTTATAGCGATATTACAATTAAAATAAAAATAAATCCCATAATTTTTTACTATATTATTTACTTTTACAGAATCTTAAAAGATATATAATCTCTCAAAACACTCCTAATTTTTATGACATTTATCTTTGTCTTAGAACTTTGACCAACTTAAAACACCTCAAAATAGTTATTAATCAATATATATTATATTTATTTCATAGAAAATATTTAATCTACTAATAAATAATATAAAGATATTAGACGTGAAGAGAGATTTAATCGTCGCGTAAAAATTTAAATGTTAAATTTTTTAATAATTAGATAATTTAAAATTGAAAATTTACAATGCTACAATAAATTTTAATCTAGTTTATTTTGATTTTCTTACTTTTATTTCTTAGAAATGTTTATGAAAAAAAAAGAAATTGTCTAAATAAATTCAACAGATTACACCTCTAAGCCAAAAAAGCAATAAAAATTATTAATGACTTCTAGTTGAAACGTGCTTTGAAGAATGATGGTGGTTTTGGTTACTAAGGAAGCATAATGGTGGTCTTGTTTATCAGGGAAGCATTCAAATTTGTGATGATAATGTCTTCTTCAATGTAATAAACTAAAATGCAAATCGATCCATAACTAATGAGTAATATGCAGTATGTTGATTGAGTGAAGCCAAATCTGTTGATGATTTAGAAAATGATATGACAATACTGACTTTAATATTTTATCTTCCAGGGAGTTAATTTATTGGATAATAATGATAATTAGTTATCCAAATATCATTACTTCAATTTATTTTATCATAACCTCTACAAAAATTTCAATAAGAATAATCATCGTCTACTTGCAATAAAACTCCTACAATAGAACGTGATTGTTGTGAGAGAAGGGGTCAACCAACACAAAGAGATTCCTGTTAGTTATTTATGTTTGACATGTGGAAAATACATGCGAATCTTCCTCCTTTGATAAATACAATAAACGAAATGGCATGACTTAAAACTTAATTTGGACAAAAAAAAGAGAGAGATAGTCCAATAGGCTTGTGTAATCTTATCATCCTGCAAGAGAAAAGAAAATAGCATTCAAGCAAATATAATAATTCATTATTCAAAGATACAAGTTTAATAATATACAACTCACCACTCCTAGTTCCTTTACATAAAACTAATAATAGCTAGCTACCACCCTATATCTAGTGTTGGACTGCAAGTACCTCACGTCTCACATACATACTCCAGTCCTTATGACATAGCAATGGCTTCCTTCTTTGTTATAGCTGTTGCTTAGAAACAGCTACTCACATTGTCTACCACTACCATGGTCCTGTAAGTGTCCTTCTCAAGCATTGTATTTTACTTATCCTTGGCCGGCATGCAGGGTCCAAATCCTGCTAAAATAATAATAAATAAATAAATAAAATTTATTTGGCTTTCAATCTCTAGAAAATAAATTGAAAGTGAAGAAAAAGAGTTCATTTGATCTAGAGAACATTGGCAAAGAGTCATGTAAAAAGGAGATTATACCTTATTCTTCTGCATTTCCTTAATTTCTGCCTGTATCAAACCAAATGTAGTCAGGGAAAGCCAAAACCTCTGCATACATTTTACTGATAAGAGTGATAAGGATGTGGCGCACAATGACAGCATACCTGTTTTCTTTGTAATTCTCTGTTTATTTCCTTAAGTTTTGCAACTTCAGCTTCTAGTTCGAAAGTGTAGGCCTGCCAATCATGAGAGATAGATGTTAATAGTTACGTGCCTTATAGAAGAGTCAACGGATCATTTGTAAGAAAGTCCTTTTATCTCAGGTGATGCAGAAATAGTAAGGAAGAATGATATCATATGAACTTTGTCAAAGTTAATTGTTCTAATATTTGATAAGAACCCCACTAAAACCAGAGTTGACCACAGCTTTTTAGCAGGATCCACACAGTAGATTAGAAGAATGTTGCTAACAGTGTTGTTGTCATGACAAGGATGCATAATGACTAGTTAGAAACTGTAAACATACTTTTTTTTTTCTGAAATTTCTTTAGAATAAAATTAACATTTTGTAAAGTGAGAAACAAAAGAATATTTTCTCAAATCAAACAACTACTTAGTTTTTTTTTCATGAGAATAATGAAAGGGATAATCAAAAGATCGTTAACCATTTACTTATATATCTTTTTAAATTTTATTAGGTGAGTTTTAGGAGTTGCAGTAAAAGAGAAAATGGTTTATCTTTTCAAAAGATATTAAAACCACATAAATATAAAATTAAAATTTATTAATATTACTTGGGCTAAAACTTAATTTTGAGATAGTTTAAAAAATAAAAACATATTTACCCATACTTTTTCTCTGCACATGTTAATACAGTGGAACTAATGCAGTAATGAGTAATTCTAAGGGACTAACCTGCTTACGAGCTCGTGACCTTGCAGCTGATTCTCTATTTTTTATCATTCTCCTTTGTCTTCTCTCAACCACTTTCTCTATAGCACTGCATTTTCTTCCCCTGTTGATTGCATAATGAACTGGTGACAGGGAAGAGTTTTCTACGTTAGTTCTTGTAATTACATCCGGCGATATTTTCTTTGAGGGAGAAGCCCCTGGATTTGCCGAGGCTAAACCAATCATTCCAACATTCAATGAACGCTCAATCAAGCCTCCTCTTCTACCAGGGCTAGCAAGTGGAGCACTGTTCAACAAATGCATAGGAGCAGCAAAAGCTACATTTGCTGGCTTTGGAAAAAGTGGTGGTGGCTGTTGTGTTGGTCGTTGAGAGTGGTTTGAGTTTAGTGATAAAGGAGGAGGTTGTTTGGAGACTAAGTTATTGTTGCTCTCCAGCACCCTCTCACTAATATTCCCGTTACTTCTATTTGGTTGTTGGAACCCAAGAAGTAGGCCAGTGTTATTGTTTGGTCTAGGAAAGTCACCAAACCATCCATTGTTATCTGGTTTTCCAATTTGTTGTTGAGGTACATCTTCTCTCACCACCCCAGCTCTCACCAAAAACTCCTCCAAAGTTATTTCTCCCAATGTTGGTTGCCTTTGAGGAATGGATGAACCACCATTGCTACCGTTCCCATCTTTGGTCCCACCACTATCTTTGATCAAGTCCCTCCAAACCTCATCTACTGTTTTCTGACTAAGAGTCCTTGGCAATGTCAAAGAACCCTGTCTTTGCAAACCACCAATAATTGGGTTATGGTTGTGGCCTTCTCCTGCACTAGCAGAAAATGCCAAGGCCTGAGTCTCTTCAGCTGTCCAAATGTTCTTCAAGAGTTCATCCATGTTCATGGACCCAAATTCCTTCCCAATCCCACCCATGGTGCTCTGAAACTCATCAAACGTAAGGGAGTATACTGAGGGCTGTCTCAGCAGAGAATTAACATTTGCTGGTGTCTTCCCATGCATGGCATCCCAAGTGGGGTTATTATCACCGTAGTTCCTGAAGTTCATATTTGTCCCCACTTTCCAACACTTGAAGCAGACGTTAGAGCTTTAGTTACGTAAACTTTGTCTTACGGAGCAATCATGCCTAAGTAGATCGTGTGGTGCTTTCAGACACTGATTTAGAATTGTTTCCTTGGAATCGGATCTAAGTATACAAAATATTGGGACAATAAAAGCAATTCATTGATAAAGTTACTAAAACAGATAATTATTAATCCCAGCCCACAATCCTTAGAAACAAAATTTCACGAAGAACGCTCTTACATTATTTGAGGATCAGTAACAAATGAACAATTCGGGAACAACTTCATGTAAAGCGTAAAAATCGAAAGCAGTACACATGGTGAAACACTGAAGCCTACCATGACTGACATGCAGAGAAAAGTCAGATCTAAACGTTGCGCTGTCTTTTATTTTAGTATTTTGTACCAGGTAAAAATATCTTACTAGTTTGGTAAATTAGATTAAGTTACACTCTGAGCTAGTAACCCAAAATCTGACGATGTAGATGGAATTTAATTTTTCACATGCTTCAAACTAAAAAGTTAAATAATTTCTGCGAGGTACCAGGACCCTTTTAGATGTTTAACAAAACCCAACTTCCCTTTTCGAGCGAAATCACAAAAATCGTAAAAAAAATCTCCCAGAGCCGTCACCATCTCCAACCTGTTTTTCTTTTATCTTAAAAAAAATAATAGTCACCATTATACAAATTTCCCATCCAATAATAGAAACCAAACTCCACTGCTCCATACACAACTCACACACGCAACAAAAAACCACTATAACAGCTAAGCGTAATTCAAATCTGCTGATTCTCCACGCCACAGAGCCTCTCGGCGATCGGAGAAACCGAAAAGGCACCATAGAGGTTCAACTACAATTAGTTGGGAGAAAAGACCCAAATAAAAAAGAAGAAGAGCGAAAGGAGAAGTAAAACAAAAAGGAACGCCAAGTAATAAACCGTGGGAATGGCCCAGAAATGGATACGAAGAGGAAAAAAATGGCGGTGAGAATGAAAGGGGGAATTAAAACTAGAATTACCTTGGGTCAGTGTTTTTGTTTGGGCCTATTCTCAATTTGAGTCTGATGCATTCATTGATCAACGTTGGACTTGGGACTTGCTACTTGGGAGTGTCGTGTCGCAGCGATCTTGAGATTGGGGAGTGTGGTGGAGTCGACAAGTGTCTTGTGTTGTGCCGCCTCGACACGAGTCGGGATTTAAGAACACCCTCTTGCACTGCCCCCATCGTATTATTGGACTTTTCCTCAATTATAATATTTCCAAAAATTAAAATTGGAACCACACTCATGACAAAACGTGGCCCAATCGCTCTGCAGTTGAATCCTTGACGTGACCTTCACCCAATCACATATCGAAATGTGTGAGGATCAATAGCACTTGATGCTGCTTTCCGACAACATTTTACATTTGTGATCATCACGCATTGGGATTTTTTCCCACCCCAGAACAAAACATTACCCATTTTCTGTGCTTTATTTTTTCTTTTTTATATTTTCAATTTTTGGCTCAGATTTTTGCATTATCTTTTCCTTTTTCAGCTCTGATAGGAGTTTTTGGAAATAGTATGTGCCTGCTAGGTATGGTAGATATATGTATGAATCTATTCCCTTGGTTTTGTCTACACACACGTCCTTTAAATAACTTCACTCACCTAATTTAGTTATAAGTCAAGTCACTATATTAATAAGAATATTTATCTTCAGCATATATGTACTTCTCATTTTGGATAAATAAATATTTTAATTTTTTTATTCAATTAAATAGAATATCTAAAATTTTAACTATTTTTAACCATAGTTAAATCAAAATATTCACACCCCACTTTAAGTTTTGGATCTTAAAGAATTAGGACTCTTGCCACCTCCCTAATGCATCTGTCCTTATTATAATTGTGTGGAGGATTGGTTAATGTAACAGAAACTGAAATGTGGAGTGAAAAAAGTGAGAACCAAAATAAAAAATAAGTAGCAGGTCAAGTTAATATAAAGTTTAATCATTTCTATTTTTATTTTAATGTTACATATTCACTCATTTATTATCATTGTTAGAATTAAAAAATAAAAATTATATATATATATATATATATATATATATATATTACAAGTGATTTTTTGTCTCTTATTTCTTGTTCTCTTCCTTTCTCTGTCAAACCAAATGAACAGTGCGTGATGATTTACTTTTTCTGTTCATTTCCTTTTATAAGACTAAATAACAGTTTCCTGAAAAAAACAATACTTCAAAGTAATTATTTGTTCTTAACTTCGTTTTATAATTATGTATGAAATATTTACTATTTTAAAACAAGCGGAAGGAAAATATCGGACTTTTTTCATCAGTTAATTTTTTTTTAAATAGATATTACTTTTGTATATTATTTTGTCCTAGATGTTTATTTCATTGCATAATTGTGAAACTAGTTCTACCATTTAGATTAGTAATTAAGTAAAGGTTTTTCACAATTCTAGAGTTGAATAGTTATCAAACTAACCTTGCTTTTTATTTTTTGTGTAATTATAATGCTTATAAGCAGTATGCAACTTTCATGTACACTCTATTATTTAAAGTTTTTTTTTTTTTCAATCATGATTTCATATGCTTATAAATAATAAAGATTAATGTTTGATTCATGCAGATATTACTTAGATTATGTGAAGCTAAGTTTTTATTTATTTATTTTTATTTTCAACTTCTTCAACGAAGATGAAATATAATACTACAACCGTTTTTTTTATTACTTACAATTTAAATTTGTGTCAAAATGTATTATCGCGGTTGCTCAAATCATTAGAAAAGCATGTGATAAAAGGACATTATTTGTTCCTTTATCCCGCTAATATTACACTGTTATTTAATATTATTTATGATCGATTTATAACTTAATTATCATGTTGGAGTCACAAATTTTACATGAGAAAATTTTAGATTATTTTTTTTATTTATAACTTTTTTAGATATTAATTTTTTTATATTTTAATATCAAAATAAAATGTTATGAAATGTTAAAATAATTAATTAATTGATAATAAATAATACATAGACTAGTGTGCTATATTAATGAATACAAATAAAAAAGAAAAAAATATTTGCTTGACTCTTGATCTCAAACAAAATATTTCTTTTATTTTTTTTAATTTATATTTTTTTTTGGTTTCTATAGTTTCAAGTCTCTATCCTGAATAGATGAGAAAAACTACTGAACAAAATTGCAATATTTATACTATAGATATAAAATCATAGAAGAGAAAAATGTGAAAAATTAAAGAAAAAAACTTATATTTTTTATATTATAAGAAAAATTTGTGAAAGATAAAAATATGAAAATGAAAGAATAATAGAGAAAAAAAAGTGAAAGTAAAAATATAAGTTTGTGAGGTGGGAAAAGTGAAAATGGTGGAAAATGAAAATATAAAAAAATTGAAGAGAAACATATGTAAATAAAAATTAAGAGAGAATAAAAAAATATTTATTATAATTATTATTAATATTTTGTATGAGAGAAAAATATAATAATTAAATATTATTTACATTTAAAAAATAATTTTATTTAAGTTTTTAAATTTTAATATATATATATATATATATATATATATATATATATATATATATATATATATATATATATATATAATTCTTTTGTTTGGATGGAAGGTGTGGCCACTCAGTGTCTCTTATCCTCCTCTAGTGAACATTATAATATTATTTGTGGTTTTAAACTATGTTAACATCAAAATATTATTGGACAAATATCAAAAGTTATAGTTCATTGTCAATATGTACATTTTTCTGTTTAAGAATATAGTATTTTGATGTTGACAATGAATGAATATCTTGAAAATTTGATGAAGTCAAAGAGTTTATGAAATAAGGGATATAATGTTTAATGAGTCTATATCAATATTATGTAGTATAATCATCTATCTATTTCTACAACATGAGGTTCTATCATTTTAAAGGAATAAAAATGTCTTTAAACTTTTTAATTTGTTAAAAATATGATATATTACAGATTAATTGATTAAAATAAGCTAAAAACACTTTGGACACATTTATAACTAATGTATTTTCGAAATAATCGATTAAAACCACTTAAATTAAGTGTGATCATGTTCTGTCGCAGTTTTAATCGATACATATTCAGATTAATCGATTAAAAACACTTAAGAAGCTTTAGAAAATATTCGTCAAGTATTTTAATCGATTAAACTTCGAATTAATCGATTAAAATCACTTAAGGATTTTTATGTAACTATTTTAATTGATTAAACTGCGTTTTTATTAGTTAAAATTTTTCTGAAAAGTGTTGTAGAACATTTTAATTTATTAAATGATATTTTCATCGCTTAAAACCGTTAGAATCAAGATTTTTTTAATTGATTAAAACACGAATTAACTGATTAATTAAATTAGTTTGTTAGAAAAATCTCTATATAAACATATTTGCTTCAACGTTTTAAACATACATCTTTTAGAAATCATTCAAGCAATCAATAGAGATATTTTCAAGAGATAAGTGAGCTCTTTTCAGTGGAAATTTTTAAAGTTCTTTCTTGATGCATTTTTGTATTCTTGCTTGTGAAGAAACTCATTATGCAGTGGGATTTCTGCATCTACATAATCGGGTTTGATTGTTCTAGTTTCTTCATTCTTTCAATTCTATTTTGTATTGTCTTAGTGTCTAGAAGATTGGGCACTGACTCTGCAACTGGAATTTGGTTGCAGGTTGTGTTTAAGAACTAGAATTTGGTTCTTGGTGCAGGTCAGGTTCAAGAACTGGAATTTGGTTCTTGGTGCAGGTTTGGTTTTGCAAATGGAATTTGGTTGTAGGTTGGATTCAAGAATTGGAATTTGGTTCTTGGTGCAGGTTTGGTTCTGCTACTGGAATTTGGTTGCAGGTTGGGTTCAAGAACTAGAATTTGGTTCTTGGTGTAGGTTGGATTTTCTGTAATTTGATTTTGTAAATCAAACTATTCAATCTAGTGGA